TTTCAAAATTAGAGCCAATATTCTCAAACTCTGTTGCTGCTTTATTAACAGTTTATGTATTCTAAATTCTAAGTTTATATATTCTAAATCTTTTGTTGTCATTTCAGCAATGTTCACAGCATCTTCACCAGGAGTAGATTCCAACTCAAGAAACCACTTTCTTTGCACATCTGTAAGAAACAACTCATCCATTCAAGTTTTGTCATGAGATTGCAGCAATTCAGTCACATCTTCAGATTCCACTTCTAATTCTAGTTCTATTTCCACCACATCTACAGTTACTTCCTCCACTGAAGTCTTGAATCCCTCAAAGTCACTCATGAGGGTTGGAATCTACTTCTTACAAACTCCTGTTAATGCTGATATTTTGACTTCCTCCCATGAATCATGAATATTCTTAATGGTGAATCCTTTCCAGAAGGTTTTCAGTTTACTTTGTCCAGATCCATCACAGGAATTACTATCCATGGCAGCTATAGACTTATGAAATTTATTTCTTAAATAATAAGATTTGAAAATTGAAATTACTCCTTGATACATGGGCTACAAAATGGATGTTGTGTTAGCAGACATGAAAGCAACATTAATCACCTTGTACATCTCCACTGTCAATGAGCAATAATATTTTGAAAGGAATCTTTTTTTTCTGAGCAGTAGGTCTCCACAGTGGCCTTAAAATATTCAGTAAACCATTCTGTAAATGGATGTGCTCCCACCCAAACATTGTTGTTCCATTTATAGAGCCCAGAGTGAGATTTAGCATAATTTTTCAGGACCCCAGGATTTTCAGAATGGTAAGTGAGCACCGGCTTTGACTTCAAGTCACCAGCTGCATTAACTCCTAACAAAAGAGTCAGCCTTTCCTTTGAAGTTTGAAGCCAAGCATTGACTTCTCCTCTCTAGCTATGAAAGTCCTAGATAGCATCTTCTTCCAACAGAAAGCATTTCATCTACATTGAAAATCTGCTGTTAAGTGTAGCCACATTCATCAGCGATCTTAGCTAGATCTTCTGGATCTCCTTTAGCAGCAGCAGATTCTCCTTTAGCACTTGCTGCTTCACCTTGCACTATTATGTTCTGGAGACAGCTTCTTTCCTTCAAACTCATAAAACAACCTCTGCTAGCTTTGAACTTCTTTTCTACAACCTCATCACCTCTCTCAGTCCTCACAGAATTGAAGGGAGTTGGGGCCTTGAATTAGGCTTTGGTTTAAGCAATATTGTGGATGGTTTGACCTTCTTTCTATCAAGACCACTCAAACTTCCTCCATATCAGCAATAAGTTTCACTTTCTTATTATTCATGTGTTCACTGGAGTAGCACTTTTGATTTCCTTCAAGAAGTTTTCCTTTGCATTT